ACAAAAGTATTAAGGTTATGATTACTGAAAACTAAATAATATTTTACAAGATATTTTACATTTTGTGTCAAAAAATTGTTAACTTCAAACCTTTATAACTCAAAAAGTACTTAATGAAAAAATGTTTTATTATAGTGTTTTGGAAAGCTCTCGAGATAAACTATAAAAATATGCAATAAAATGTAGGGGGTTCCATTTAAAAAAATAAGGTTGACCTTGAAATGACCTTAAAGGACATGGTCAAGATCAAAGTCAAGGTCATTATCTTACTCCTCGCTTGAAACCATACAACTTTGCTATTGGACATTTTCTCCAAAATGCATTCTAACTGAAGATACTAGGAGGGTCCGATACTTTTTGATGACCCTGTATAATATAAACTATAGATGAACAGTAGAGCTACAATTGATTTATGAATAACATTTGATACAAAAACTTACAGCCCTTCTACAATAAGCCGCAAGTCAGAACATCAGAAGTCTTAACCTGTCTTAACCAAATCGTTCAAGTTGGCTATTGGCCAACTTCACCGATTATGACTTAAAATAGCTTAAAACTTCTGACTTGCGGCTTATTGTAGAAGGGCTGTTAAACAAGAGACAATCAGCACGTTAAGAACTCCTACAGATGAGCGACTTTGTAGCGCCACAATCGAAAGGGCCAACCCGTACATACAGAGCTATATTCTGTGACTACAGAAAAGTGAACATATTTGCGATATTTTTCTCCGTAGCTTCGTATGAACGGATTGGCGCTTTTGATTGTGGCGCTACAAAGTCGTTCATTTGTAAGATCCCATACTCAAATATACATATACATATATTCGTGTGATAATATGCTCAAGTTTGAAAAGAATGAGGAAATATGTTTAACTAAATGCTAAAATAATATACCTTAAAAACATTTTAAAATGCTTGAAAATAAAAATGCATTATAATAAATGCAAACTATTGTGCATTGGCATATTAGCATCATAATGTAACAGCGAGTTATTGAACAAAAAAATTTCATAAGCAATCATTAGAATTCGCCATCATTTAATAGCAAAAATATTCAGAAGAGCCGTTATATTCACACTGTTCATAATATCACCTTCTCTTCTAATAAATAAACTATAGGGCAGACCGGGGAGTAAAGGTCCCCGGGGAAAAAGGTCCACCCCTTGTATCTCGGTAATAAGGCATTCACTAGAAAATTCCGCCACACAGTTCGTCAATTAAGAGTGAGAATCTTATGTCACACAGTTCGTTACTGCCTAATAACCGTCAGGAAACTTGCACGGATGTGCCTATGTGTTTGAGAGCCAAAAGTAAGATATTAGCGCCGCAGTTATTTTGGTCTGAAGGGATCATTTTTGCACGTAGATAGATTAAATAAGTGTATTTATTAATCTTATTCTATTGTTTTAACAGTAATTATTAGAATTGTTATTTTTATTATAGTTTTTTAATAATAATGCCGCAAAGTTTACGTGACTTGTTGGGATAAAAAGTGCCATGGTTGTTGGGGTAAAAGTGCCATGGTTGCTCTGTATTCGTTAATGTTGATTCTATAACAAGTCGATAATCCTAAGTCGATAATCTTACCAGTGAAGTTGACCAATAGCTAACAGTACGAAACGTTACCGATTACTTTCGATTATCGACTCATTGTAGAATTAGCATTAGTGG